CTAATTTAATTTCAATCTACCCTTAATTTTTATTGATTTTATGATAGTACGGCAAGTGTTGAAGAGTCTTTCAGCTTTGGGTTACTTCAAACTATAAACACCAAGTGTATTCTACAATTATTTTCGAATAAAAAAACACATCTTGGACTTTTTAACCTGTACGAGTAAGATATTTTCATATTTACGATTTAATTTTTATTAAATTTATTTTTTAAGAAAGGATACCCCTATGAAAAATTTCTGGGTCCGCCACTGCATGACCTATATGCTTCCAGTTCAAAGCAATCAGTACTAGGCAATGCCGCAACATTGTTTTTATGGAATGTTTTTTTTGATGAATGATGATACGAAACTTTTATTGCAAAAATGAATGGAGACTTGCCAAAAAATGGCAAAGAAACTCACAGACAAAGACAAAGGAAAAAAAAAAGGAAGGGGGTCCAACGTGAGAACAATAAAAAGAAATTAAGACAAAACCCAAAATCAAAACCCACAAAACGAGTAAATCCAAACAAGTCTCGAGAAAAAAAAAAGAAAAGAAAAACACGAAGAAGCAAAAGAAAAAGAACAAACTGTTAGCTAGCTCCAATCCTCGCCCATTCCTGAAAGAACTCATCTGAGATAAGGTTGAAAGCTCGAAGCCATCTCCCAATCGCATGACGAATCTTGTGGCAAACCTCAACTGGGGATGATTCGGTATTCCTAAAAATTCGGTTGTTTCTCTCTGTCCAAATATACCAAAACACCGCATGAGGTAGAACTTTCATACAATCACTAAGCTTTGTGTCATACCCTAATCCTCTCCAAGCCGGAAGAAATGATGGTATCGTTGATGGGAGAGGGCCATGTAGCTGGAGAGATGATGTGAATCTTGCCCAAACGTCTTTTGAAAATGAACATGTGAACATGAGATGACAAATCGTCTCTTCTTGGCACTTGCAAAGAGAACACCAATTTGTGATGATCATGCCTCTTTTTCTTAAGTTATCAATAGTAGAGATCTTTGCTAAATAGGCCATCCAAAGGAAGCAACATATCTTCGAAGGCACATGCGAGATCCAAACAAGCTTGAAGGGGAAGGAAACGTCACCCGCAAAGGTAGTATCGATGAGGTTAGATGTGAAGGAGTGCACAGAGAAAATCGAGGACTCCAAAGGTCAAACAAGATGAGCAGGGCCGATCGAGATCCATTCTGGCGAGAGTGAAGACAACAGTTGCCTCAAACGGGCATGCTCCGCTTCAGCTCCCCGACGAAGGGAGATCGAAAGGGGTATCTCCAAAAAAGACCTGTCATCCAAAGAAATCAAATCAGAAACAAAAACATCCAAGGATTGGGCAGCAGCCGCAACCCTTGGGAACTCTCTCTCAAGGTGTTTCCCCGGGATCCAAGCATCGTGCCAAAAAGAAACCCCATTTCCCCCCAGGATCGACATAGGCCACCTCCCAAAAATAAGAGCTTTCGTTGACAATCGCCCTCCACAAGAGCTTTATGGAATGTTGTTGCTTGGTGTCACGGCATTGTTAATACTGGGCCAGAACAATCGAACCCAACGTTGCTTGTAACTCCTTTACACACCGACTGTATTTTGACCTAAATAAGATGAAAACTCCCAACTTAGTTGATGGATGCCCCAGAGAAGACAGTTGCCTTCTAGAATTTCAGTCACGATTAAGAACATGATGTAAATCTTTCAGTCTACCAAAACCGGAGGACAAGAAATTCGAGCCAAAGTCTCCCAATTTCTGGCTGATAAAGTTTCTCTGCCAAAATACTGAACCTTCATCTCAAGTTTGCAACTTCCAGCTATAATTCTCCGGACCAACCTTAATATCAATTATCCCAGTGCTCAACTTTCTATCTGCAGTGTACTTCGCCAGTTCACGAGCTATAGTCTCGGTCCAGAGATAACTGTAGGGAGTTATGAACATGTCCCTTCTTGGATAAATTTGAGACGATGCCATAAATCTCGGGGTAGCTTCAGAAGCAAGCATCATGATTGCTTGACTATCACTCTTTTTTCTATTTTGCTTCAGCACTTTTCTGGTTTGGACTTGTAGTAACCTTGCTACAAGATTCCACTTGTTACTGAAATTGAAAAAATAAAATAAAATGATTCATTGACTACAACGCAAGATAAGGAAATGGGTCAAGGATCAAAATTGTTTTGGATCAAATTCATCTAAATAACATCAATCATACCATAATTAATATAAATATTTCTAACACAACATATTTGCGACTAACCGCAATTCATTAATTACAGACATAATCATTAAAACATCAAAATCTAAACAATACAAAATTATAACATACCGAATTTTTTGTGTTTCTGTAACCGTAATTGCTGAAAGCAGGCTGAGAAGAGGAATTTTGCAAATTTTTTTTGGTGGAATGGGGCAGAATATTGATTAATGTATGTGGGGGAGGGGCTTTTTATATGGAAAATCAACCACTAATCACCACAATGGATAGCAACGGTGAACATATCACTGTCGTCGCCTACAATGGTGAAAGATAGGTCGTTGTGACCTAATTTCCACCTACCAGGGTTGGAAAACGTGATAAACAATTACTGTTTTCGACAACAGCTTTGATATGTTCACCGTTATTGACCACAGCGGTGATTGGCATCACTGTCTTGGACAAAGACGGTGACGCATTCACCGTTTTCTTCTGCGGCGGTGATTGTTTCCCCGCTTTTCTTTACGACGGTGATTTTGTCACCGTTATTATCGAAGACAGTGATTATCATCACTGTTTTGGACAACCGCAATGATGCTGAAACATACGTACTTTGAAAATTATTTTCATAACTAATATATTTTGAGAATTTTTATTTAATAATCAGTGAATTTTGGGAATTTTTCCCCAGAAATCGTGACACTTTTATTGATATGAATCGCTATTTGTCGCCCGTAGTTTTACTATTTGCCACCCGTAGTTACAAAAAATATGACAATTTTGCCCCTGGTCTAATTTAAAACCCTAAACCTACCTACCTCAACCCAACCCCTAACCTCCTGCCGATCGCCGCTGACCTCCCAACCCCTCCCTCCTACCGAGCGCCGCCGACCTGCCGACTTCCCAGACCATCGCCGCCCACCTGCCGATCGCAGCCGCTGTTCCAGACCCTAGAAGCCGTCGCTGTCGACCTCCCAGACCACATCAGCCGCCATCCCAAGCTCCCTCTCGCTGCCGCTATTCAAGTCTACCAAGCTCGCTGTTACCGCCGTCGACCTCCCAAGCTCGCTCTCACCGCTGTTCCAGTCGTCGCCGCCATCTCCAGGTATTTTTTTTCTTCGTCCCTTAGACGTCGTCCGCCTCGCCTAAGCGGACGCCGTCCGCCTCGCCTAGTAGGACCGCGTCTGCCTCGCCTAATCGAACCGCGTCCGCCTCGTCTAATCGGACCGCGTCCGCTGGCCTGGTTAGATCGCGTCCGTTGGGTCTGGTCGGACCGGTCTGATTGGGTTTGACTGGTTCAGTTTAATTAAATATTCATTAGATTTATTTTAAATTCAATTGTTAGTATGTTAATTAGTTTAATATTGATAGTTGAATAATTAGTATATAATTGTTGGTTGAATAATTAGTATATAATTATTAGTTGAATAATTAGTATATAATTTTTAATTAAATAATAAGTATATAATTTTTAATTATATAATGTGTTAGTTTATTAATTGAATAAGTTGAAATAATTATCTAAATACTTATCTATAGTATTTAGTAAAATAACTATCTAGTTAAATTAATTAGATAACGAGTTGCATGTAGTCATTGATAAAAATTAACTATGAACAAATTTCTCAACAAATAATTTATTATAAGAGATTAATATATAATTATTGACTATGTTAATAGATAATTTATTATAATAATTATCAAAATAATTATTGAATTAAATAAATTGTAAATAATTGTTAGTCTAAATAATTATCTATCATGTTTTAGTTAAGTAATTGGGTTAGTTGAAATAATTATTTAAAGAACTACCTATCGTATTAAATAAAATTACTATCTAGTTAAATTAATTAGATAACAAATTGTATGTATCATAATTAGTTTATGATAAAAATTAACTATGAACAAATTGCTCAACAAATAATTTATTATAAGAGATTAATAGATAATTATTTACTATGTTTAGAGATGGCGTCAGCTGGTGATTTTGGAGGATCACGAAAGAAATTGAAAAGATTACTTGGGCGTAACATCAATATGAGTACGAGAATTAAGAACCCAAAGGATGGAGATGAGATAGAGTCAGAGTCAAATTTAGAGCATGAGCCACAACCATAGCCACATCAGCTAGTGACACCGATGAGTTTGAGGGCAAACTGCTTTCCTCAGTTTGATTTTCAGTTGCCTAGTATGGCTGGTAGTGGACCTCGTTCCAGTCATACTTCACCGTTTGAGCCTTCAGACGAGATTGATGACGAGTCTGAGCAGTATGAGTCGAATGTTATTGAGGATCGCATTCCACAAGTCAATCCGATCAGAGATAGAGGTGCCGCCAGCGGATCGTCACATGCCGTTACTGGGATTTATAGAGACCATGTAGGGCGTTTCTACAGAGCTCCACAGCCTGGTGAGGGCCAGAGTGATAATGCTGATGTGGGAGAGGCCTGGGAGCTTAGAGGACCGTGTGCTGGAGGGCCGAGCGACTTGAGTTTGCTCCGTAGCTTGCTTGGGCATGTTGCCCACTATCTTTACACTGGACAGGCTGATAGAGGGGTGATCACTTGCTAGGACAGAAGTTCGACACGTTCTACACCCTTATGAGATGGCAGATTCTCGCGCTATGATTACCGTAGAGACATCGGGCCTTGCTAACCTCGTTGATGTCACCTTCCAGAGCGAGCTAGACACTGCTCTCATCTAGGCATTTGTGGAGAGGTGGCAACCGGATACCAACACCTTCTACATGCCGTTTGGAGAGATGACGATCCTCCTACACGACATGGCTCACATTCTTGTCATTACGGTTGAGGGAGAGGCGATGGTAGAGGATCCGAGGCAGTTGGAGAAGAGGTCACTGGAGGATGACATGAGAGCACTACTGGGCTTAGATCGTGACGATTTGGACCACGAGGCGCAGGTTGGAGAGATCTCCAGAGAGTCTAAGTGGTACAGAGGGTTTGGTTTGTTGGGTGTGGCAGCTTTGGCTCATTTGCAGGAGTTTGGTCCGCCATCTAGAGAGGGTTAGTGTTACCTTCTTTTGCTGCTTGGGTCCACACTGTTCATAGATAAGAGCCACATTTCTTCTTTTATCAACTTGTTTGTGAAGAGGCCGGATATGGTCAGTGTTACCTTCTTTTATCTTCTTTTATCAACGCGTGGGGGGCTGATGAAGCACTTGCTTATCTGTTCATGCAGCTTGGTATTGCCTCCCGGGCGGAGGATAAGGGAGTGGCGGGTTGTCTGACTTTACTACAGTATTGGATTTATGACCACTTTCCTACCTTGAGGCCTAGTCGGTTGGAGCCACGACAACTGGAGCAGGTGCAGGAAGGAGCACTCAAGTGGCGCGGTATCTCACCTCAGTCGACAAAGAAGAAGGATACACTCATGCTGGCTTATTATCGGCAGGCGATTGACAGTTTGACCCCACAGCAGGTTATTTGGACTCCGTATGGTCAGCGTCCTCATCTGAGCGTGAGACGTACCTTGTATTAGGGCATGATCAGATTTGCAGTGATAGTAGACCCATATGATCCCACTAGGTGCCTTCGACAGTTAGGCTACGTGAAGAGTGTACCGTATCCCCCGGAGCGTCCGCTTGTTGTGCGTCGACCTGCTTCCACGCTTGGATACTCTCTTAGATATCAGTCTGTTTATGATTCGTTGTGGAACTACCTGGGGGCGCATAGTGTGCATCTGGACCTTTATTCTACTCATATACGACATAGGCCATGGGAGTTTGCTGACGATTACATGGGGTGGTACATTAGGCACTCGCACCCACAGATATTGAGTGACAACCGACCTCATCGCGAGTTCACGGATGCTGATACGGTTAGTACAATCATATTTGAAATTATTTGTATTAAGTAAAATTCTGTTTGATTGCAACTAATATATATTTAAATTGTCTGGTTTTTGTTTACAGTTGAGACACGAGATGTGGATGGAGATAGCTGCCGTGATGGATGGTGCACAGGGTAGTAGGGTGGAGTGGCATGCTAGGTCCAACGAGTACTATGACTTATGTCATGGAGTTGGGAACATGTGGCCCGAGTTTAGGAGGAAGTGGGGTTTTCTACCACCTCCACAGTAGTTGTATGATTGTTATATCATATTTATGAGTGTCATTTGTTCTTTTTACACGAGTAGACTTATGTTATTCTGTTGTTCTACTACAACTTATGTTATGTGGTGTTTATGAGTGTCATTTGTTGTTTTTAGACGAGTGGACTTATGTTTTCCTGTTGTTCTACTACGACTTACGTGATGTGGTGTTCACTTGCTTATTTGTTGTTTTTAGACTATGACTTATGTTATTCTGTTGTATCTGATTATGACTTATGTATTTATGTTGTACTTGGGATGTTTTTATTATATCATGTTTCCATGTTCATTACAATTTATTTAAATTGAAGACGAGTACATCGGGCTCCCTCTGATTACAAATTTATTTCTTTGGAACCCTCTTTGATTTGCGCCATGGACCGCTTGACTGCCCACCCCCAAGATCTTACCACAGTTGACTAAACGCCGTTAAATATATATCCCATCCAAGCACACTATTTTGTCTACCGCCCTCCCACATGTTATGTACAGGGGGCATCGGTATCCTGTGCGCCGAAAAAGAGAGGTTGAGCCAATGATCCTGGACGAAATGCACAACAATGACTCCTCTAGGACTGGTTGCCCCAGATAGGTTGTCCACTGGCAGGATGCTACAGTTGTACGTACTTGGTATTGGGTAGAGGATATTGCTATACATGACAACAGTCAAATTAAAGAGTGTGGCAAATACGAATAGATCCACACTCATCATCCAATGACGATTTGTCGTTGGTGCTGTAGTAGCGATGTCAATGCGTTTGATTCCCGCATTCACATTCAACTCGTGCATGTTAGCGTATCGCCAATCGTGCTCACGGAGTTCTTTAGCAATGAGTCGCCTCTCTGGGAACCCATCTTGATTACCATATAATGCAAAACTAAGTGCACGAAACCCACAATGACCGTCTGGCACTGGGTCGTGGAAGGCAATGACAAAGTCCTGAACGAAGACAAGAAGCAGATGCATGTGTGCGTATTCATAATGGGTGCTGGATCCAGGGACATCTGTGAAGGAAATAGATAATCAACACAAATTCTACATAAACTATTCATATAAATAACTATAGTTATGAAATTCTTATGTGTATCTGTATCAGGACCGTTGTATTTGTTGTTTTCTTCGGGATCATCACACTCATCAAATGCATGGTCGTCTGACGGGTACTCGTCTGTCTGAGTCCCCGTGGACTTGGTATTGGTCGACTTTGTAGACCCCGACATTGTGCTTCCCGACTTCTTTTTCATGTTTTTCTTCTTACCACGCAGTATCTTATCAAACCACACTTTAGTTCTTCCAATTGATTTTTTGTTTGGTCGTCCCCTTCTAAATTCGTTCACTTCTGGCTCGTGAATGTTGTCTTCCGCTAGGTGGAGTCCGCGAAACACGTTCTTTACTTCTTTTTTCATTGCCTCTGGTCCTCTACGTATAGCCTCATCAACCAACTCCTGAAGGTGACTTTTAGCCTCATCCTCGTAGGGCACGTACTCCCGGGCATCGGGTGGATGCTCGTATGTTAGTGTCCGCCAATATATATGAAGATCACCTGGGTATATCCAGAGGTGTCAATTGGACGGGTTGGGTCGGGTTCGGATTGGGTCTAACCGGGTTAGGTTCAATCGGGTTGCGAGTTCAATAGGGTCATTTCAATTTGGATGGAGTTTAATTGGGTTGCAGGTCAATTGGGTTACGAGTCAGTCAGGTCATTGGTCAATTGGGTTACGGATCGAGTTGGTTACGTGTGCATCAAATTACGGGTTTATTGGATTGCGGGTTAATTCGGGTTCGGTCAGGTCAGTTTATGGGTTATTCGGGTCAACCCATTGGAAAAATGATAATATGATAATATTTTACACATACAAATTAAATATCCATTATGTTAGTATAAAAACTAAATATAAATAAATTAGTGTATACAAAAGCTTTGTTGTTGGTTGTAATTTTTTTGTTTATGGTGAGAGATTGTAACTTCACTTATTTTATTAATTTATAACAAATTGAATCAGTAAAAATTTGAGAAAGAAGTAAAACAGGTAGACTATATGCTTATGCATCTAGAAATTAATCATCTTAATTAAATTTTGTATGAACTAGATGTATGTCTCTTCATTTACACGAAGACTTATGAACATCATTTCGAATCACCCACTTATATATCTTCACAATTTTTTTATATATTCACGGTAACATCTCATCATAAAACTCATGGGTCGAACAACGGTTCGCTCAAATATGATATTATCATCTAGTTTGAATCGTCGATTTATTAATTTATAAAAATAAATAAAATTAGTAAAAAGTTGAGAATGAAGTAAAAAGGGTAAACTATCCACTTATATATCTAGATAGGGATCATTGATTTCATTGATTTTGGGGATTACATTGATTTTTAAGGGTTGATTTTTTTTTTAATATAGTTATGGGTGGTGGAGATACGAATTTGTGTCTAACTCTTCCTATTATCTTCAAAAATTTATCCTTTGAATTTCATAAAATAAAAAATGAATAAAACGATGTTTCACATATTATTATTTTAAAAATTAAATATTTAAAAAACCCTCAATTTATACTATCAATACTACAAATAATTATCAATTATTAGGAGAACAACAGTTCTTTCTTGGTAAATTTAAAAATATAATAATGTATACATTGAATTTTTGTACAAGCATTCAGGTCAAATGGGTTATTCAAGTTGGGTTCGGTTCGTTACGGGTTATTTGGGTTATGAATCATTCGAGTTATAGATGGATCGGGTTATGGGTTGGATCGGATAACGAGTTCATCGAGTTATGGGCTGATCGGATTACGGGTCAATTGGTTTCGGGTTACGGGCGGGCTTCGGGTGGTTGACTTTTTGTCAAATCGGATTAGGGACGGGTTGTGGGTCAGGTGGGTTGGGCGGGTTAGTCGGGTCGGGTTCAATTTTGACAGCTCTATGTGTATCTCTATGTCTCGCGCTCTGCTATCCATAACCTGACATCCACACCTCAAGCCGTGTGTCACAGAGAAATGACATGCACATCGGGAGTTCTCATTTTTTTCCAAACGGGCCGCCAAATCTTCTTCAACCTCCTTCATCAATATAATTGCCTGCATGCTGACCTTCCTTCTCAAGTATGTGAAGGGTGTACCGTTGGATGCTGAAAGGGTTTTCTGTCGAGAGTTTTCCAACATCATCCTAACCTCCCCGAGTTGGTTAGTAATGTAGCGGTGGTTTCCTTTCCATACAGTGTCCATAGATCCCCGCGAGTTGTGGAGGAAAGTTTTCAATGCAGAATGTGACGCCTCAACCCTGTTTGTGCTCGTATTTCCTAGATGAAACACATTTTTGGTATGACAAACTGCCCACTTCTCTCGATGTTGCCACCACACTCCTTGTATGTATTGCAACAGACGTGGTTCGTAATTGCTCCATCTTGCCCTAAAGCGGCCAAACGCGGCCAACATACCTTGCTCGGACCATGAATAAAGCATAGGACACCAATCGTGATCGTAAGCCTCGTTGACCAAATCCATCTTGTACTTCCCAAATATTTCCAAAAAATTCTTCTGCACATTAGTGTTGATGTGCCAAACACATAGCAAATGCGGGGTGTGGGGGAAGACCACAGAAACTGTAGCAAGTAGTCCACCTTCGTGGTCGGTGATGATGGTAGTGGGCATGCGTGGATGGAGCAATTGTTTTATGCACTCCAACAACCAATGATACACCTCTTTTGTCTCCTCCTTCACGGGAGCACAACATATGTTGAAATTCTTCCCAACGGGAGTAGCACCTACGACCTCCACCCACGACATTTTATATGCATTGGTCTTATACGTTGAGTCGATTAGAATCAGGTAAGACCAAACCTTCAACATCTGGATGGAAGTTGGATGGGCAAAAAAAAAAAAAAAAAGATGGGTAAGCACGTCGTTATCGTCCTTCATAACCTCTATATGATAATTCTCATGTTCAGCTGCTTGCAACGCATACTGCACTGCATTCATCTCGCCCATCTCGTCTTTCCTAGACTTGAACCCAAGGTTATACATTTGCCTTTTGGTGTGATGCCCTTTGTCACCCTTCTGCATGTTTATTGTCTGCTTCTGTTGCGACGGAGGTACCCCAACATCTCTCATCTGCTTCAGAGATTCTTTATCCTTCTGACTGAATTTCTTCATTTGACTGTGGCCCTCCGGATAAAGCATCTTCTCATGATTGTGATACCCTCGCCTTAAACCGGTTTCTTGCTCTCTCACTTCTTGTATCTTCCAGAATGAAGGTCCATTAAGAGCATCTGGATCAACAAGTAGTTCTTTGATTTTAACCTTGAACATGCAATTAGACCCTTTTGAACTTGTATTGCCACGACTCTCCTTGGAATGATCCGACTTGTATGACTTCCTCTCCCTACTGCATCTGTCGCAATACATATAACACATACCCAATACTCTTTTGTTGCCCAACTCACGTGGCTTCATCGATCCCTTAATTAGAAAGAAACCAAGAGACATCGCGATGTTTTTGGTCATTGTTGCAGCATCTTCGAAATTGTCATATTGGACGCCATTGAGAAAATTGTCTGTGTAATCACCATTTAGTTCAACATTGTAAGTCATGTCCACTTGTAATTATGATTTTACAACTCGTTAGAAAGATACAAATTACATGATTCAACACTACTAAACTAACTAATGAATCAATTAATACTAAAATCAATTAACTCTACAAAATTAAACTAAATGAAATAATTTAATTAATTTTACAAAATAACGATAATTTGACGATAAGAAATTTAATTAAATATAAATTATTAAACTAAATTAGCTCTACGAATTAAATCTAAACATAATAAACTAATTAGCGCTACAACAAAACACAATCATTTAATTAAACTAATTATGCTTCAATTAACTCTACAAAATTAAACTAAATGCAATAATTTAATTAACTCTACAAAATAACGATAATTTGACGATAAGAAATTTAATTAAATATAAATTATTAAACCAAATTAGCTCTACGAATTAAATCTAAACACAATAAACTAATTAGCGCTACAACAAAACACAACCGCTTAATTCAAGCTACATACGAAATTAACGGTGTAAAATAAAAATAAAAGCAATAAATTAAATCTAAATTATCAGCTCTAGAATTAATAATAACTTAAATATATATCAAAATACAAAAAAAAAAACCGCCGGCGTTGGTCGCCGTCTGCTCGCCTGGATCGGACGCCGTCCGCTTTATCAGGTCAGACGGTGTCCGCCTCCGACGGTCGGATGGGGTCTGCTTACAGGAGGAGGTTATCTCATTCGCTAGTTCGACGATGTGGTACGCGGCTGCCGTCCGGTGGACGGTGGTCGGCGACTTAGGCTGTCGTCTGGTTACCGTGACTCCGGCTATGGTGATTGTGGGTTGGTGGTCGGGTGGTGGTGTGAGGCTACGGTGATTGTGGGTAGTTTAAAAAACCAAATCAAAGAATAGAATATAAAGAAATTGTGGAGGGCAAAAATGTATTTTTAATATAATTTACGGGCGGCAAATAGTAAAGACTAGGGATGGCAACAAAACCTGAACCCACGGGTACCCACCCGACCCAACTCGATCAACGCAGGTAAAATCCGTGTTGACGGGTTTTGGGTCGGGTATGGGTTTAAACACATTCACTATTCATCGGGTTGGGTTTGGGTTAGGTAAACCCGCCCCATGGGTACCCGCCCACACCCATATAATTAATTTTATCGGTATATTTTATAGTCTAAACAACTAATCTTATTTTTGTTTGTGGAGACATGTCTAATTTTTTTCTTTCTAATTGTGTAGAATGAAGTTGATGTTATCGAGTGGAGAGTGAAGAAACTTAATTGAAATGAAGAAGCTTTCAATTAATCATGTTATTTATGGATAATTTGTGATTTGCTTCAATTTTCTTGTGTTTTCTAGATTGGTGTTGAACAATTTGTATAGTTCATTTGTGATTTGCTTGAATTTTCTAGAATGGTGTTTTTATATATGGATAATTTGAATTGAGAGATTGATATTTGACTTTAATTTGGATAGAAACTTGTTATTGTGAATTTTTTACGACAAAAATCCATGGGTACCCATGAACCCGCGAATACCCAGCGGGTTGGGTTTGAGTTTTTCAAATGCAATGAGTTTTACCACGAGTTTTTATCACGAATAAATCCATGAATTTTGGTTTGGGTTTGACAAAAGTCGATCCAACCCGACCCATTATCATCCCTAGTAAAGACACGGGCGATAAATAACACACTCTTATTGATACAACATCGCCTTAGAGGTCGTTTGAATGGGTTATTTGAACGAGTTATTTCGGCCCAAATAATCCATAATGAGCTATTTGGACCGAAATAATCCGTTTGGCATTCATTTTTCCTATTGCGATATTTTGGCTTGCGGTATTTGTAAATAACGCGAAATCGCGTTATATGAAATAACCAGTGTTAAAAAAGCGTTATTAGGCGCTCGTTTAGGCGCAATTGAGCGCTGGGCGGCTGGAGATCGCTGCGCTTTGGATGTAGGCGGAGCAAAAAGCGCGCAAGGCACTTCCGCCAAAGAATATCATTTTGTCCATCATGGCATCATGGTTTTATTTACTTTCTTTATCCATCCGGTTATGGGAAACGTTGTGTACATTGTTTGTACGTATTGGAATTTTAATGAACTGGAACTGATCCGGCCAAGTATTTTCTTTTAGCTTCGTGCAAGGGTTTGTGGAGGTAAAATACGGTACGGGAAAGTTATGTATAAAATAACTACGGGTATTTTACTTCATTTTTAAGCTAATTTTATGTTTAATAGTACGTTAATAGTGATAAATAAATAAAATTAATTATTTTAAAAATAAATACATATATAAATAACTGTAAAATTTACAATTTCATTCATTAAACACGAATATTAAACGTATTATATGATTTTATACGTGTTTAGTACGGGAGTCATCAAATAAACGTATAAAAATGGAACGGCTTGACAATAATACGAATACGGAAATTTTAAACGCATAAAATACGTATGGATACATATACGTATATTAAATGGAGTATTTACTAACTATGTTTGTGGGTTTGTGGGGAAGCTTTGTTCTGAGAATTTAATTGCTATTGTGGTAATATTTACGGGTGTGTAATTACTCTGGCATGGGATGCTTTGAGTGGGTAAGGGTAACAATGGTAATGGAAAGATTCGGGGTATCTCGATACCTATAGTTGTTCCGTAATAGGTCATATTTAGTTTGTGTAATTTATCACGAGGCGAGAATTTGGATATATCGATTCATATAGATATATAATTTTTTTAATAAAAAAAGATATTTTTATTTATGATGAGCTCTTGAGCTATGATTTATGAACTTGTTAGCTAATTATCTTATTGTTAAGTGTTAAATAAGTTATTAATCATTTAAACAAAAGTATGAACGTGTAGCAAATTGTTATTTCATTTCTCATGTAGTACAAAATGCTATATTTTCTTGAACGCCTAGGCACGCTTAGTCTAGGCCTAGACAAGCAAGGCGCTAGGCTAGGTCCCCACGCCCGCCTTACGCCTAGCGCCTTCTTGAACCCTGGAAATAACTGATGGGATGGTGTTATTTTGAAATAATGCGTTTACCCATTTTTTCTGCCCCTTTTTGCCCTCATCTCTCTCCTTCCTTCTTCCTCTTTTCTTCGATTGCTTCCATGGCGATACAGCAAAATCGATCGAGGAAAAATCTTTTTTTTCTTTCACTTTTGGATTCCTTTTTTTATGCAGATTAGAATGTGTAGGAGATTGCTAGGTTTCGGCAGCGAACGGAGGAAGTTAGTAGGCGGTGGATGAGATTGCATGAATCGGAAGTCACTTTTGGATCCTTCTTTGGGATCGATTTCTTCTCTGAATCTGGGGTTGCATGAATCAGAAGTTGTCTAGTTCGATTCTCTGTTTCTATAATTGGGGGGTAGCATGAGATTGGATTTCGGTTTTGATATTTGTCTCGATGCAATCTCGATCTTCACAGCCGCCGGTGGAGTTGGGTAAGGAAGATGAGCCGGTTTGATTTTTGTCAGCGGTGGTGGCAGCAGTGGACTATTCAGGGGGTTTCTAGGATTGTATGAATTGAGAGATGAAAGACAACAGCGGGGAGCAGAGAAATCGAAGCACCTGTCGAAGATGACTCTAAATCTTGCTATCGGAAGCACCTACCTCGCCGTTGTTCGAGGAGAAGAAGAGAATGGAGAAGGAAGAGACTTTGATTCGTGGCTCTGCTGCTCATTCCCCTGTTTATTGCATGCTTTAGCTGGGTTTTATATATTAAATTTGCTTCTTATGAGAGTCCTGGATCGACAAGCTTCTTAAGCTCGACACTGATTGTATTGCATCTGCAACACACCAGGAATGCATTATATTAGGTTATTATAATTTACAACCAATCAAGCAACTACATTAGTTTGGGTGCTTCTAGAATTGGGGGCATAGTTGTATTTCTCAATTTTGTGTACCAATTAACATATAACGAATAACTTATTTATTTTCCCATCCAAACAACACATTTTGGGGTCGTTTGGATGAATGATTTGCTAATGTGGTATTTGTAGACCCAAATAACTCACGTTTTGACATTGTGGTATTTGTGTGTGATTTGTGCAATTTGAATAGTAAGAATTGAGAAGATTGTGGAAGATATGTAATAATAATAATGATAATTCGTGTAAATTAAACTAGAATAAGTCATACTAGTTAAACTAGGGTTAGCACACGAATTGATACGACAGTGTTTTCCCCTTCCTTCCCATCATTCTTAACCTCCCTTGGCCATACCCAAATTTATAGTTTCCTCCGTCTAGTTTTCTCCAATCCCATCTCGCCAGAAAAAAACAAACAAACAAACCAACCAACCGATCGAAGCAAGCACAACCCCATCTCTAGAGAGAGATCGTAAGGCGGAAATATAGAAACCAAAAGATTTCAATTCATTTCACAACACGTAAATATCTCTCTCTCTCTCATTCAACGAAAAAAAAAAACTCTCTCTCTCTACATGTAAATAGCAAACCAGAAAAGAGCGAATCATCCGATCATCACCAAACATGAACCCGAAACCGCCAGTTCTGAAATACATGCTAGCCTCCCTCTTCCTCTCCCTCCCTCTCTTCCTTTTCCTCCTGTTTCCCCTCCAGAAGAACCCCTCCACCGCCGCCGCCACCTTCCTCCGCCGCCCTCAACCGCCGCCGGGAATCCGGATCCGACCCGGCTACACCTCCTACGAGACCTACATCCAGCGCCAGCTCAACAAGACCCAGAACCCGAAGCTCCGCCGCATCTGGAGAACCCGCGACTGGGACCGCAAAGTCGTCGTCTTTTCCCGATTCTTCCGAGCCCTCCAATCCAAGCGCCTCCTCTCCAACGAGTCCAAGGCCCTCTGCGTCGGGGCGCGGGTCGGGCAGGAGGTGGAGGCGCTGAGGCGGGTCGGGGTTTCGGACTCGATCGGGATCGACCTTGTCCCTTCGCCGCCGTTGGTCGTGAAGGGGGACTTCCACGCGCAGCCGTTCGACGACGCGACTTTCGACTTCGAATTCTCCAACGTCTTCGACCACGCGCTCTACCCGGACAAGTTCGTCGGGGAGATCGAGCGCACGCTCAAGCCCGGAGGGGTGTGCGCGCTCCACGTGGCGGTGTCGCGGCGGTCGGATAAGTACTCGGCCAACGATTTGTTCAGCGTGGCCCCGCTCGTGGACATGTTTAGAGGGTCGGAGGTTGTTTACACCCGCAAGGTTGACGGGTTCGGTTTGGATACCGAAATCGTGTTCAGGAAAAAGAACAAGGATACGGCGACGGCGACGGAATCCGTTGCTAAAGGATTGCGATAACGACGAACTTTTTTGCTTTTTTTTTATTGATGAATATTTTTCGTGAATTTTATTTTTTTATTTTGGGTTACGATCAATTCGGTTTTGAGTTGTTGAGAGACGTCTCTTCCTCTCGGAACCTTTTGTACCTTTGTTTGTTTTACTCAATTGTTTTCGATTTGTTTTATTTACGGCCGGCCGGTAGCTCTTTTTTTTAATTATAGGAAACCATGTAAAAGTACGATAACAACTAGATTAAAAGGCATCGCAAATTACCAAAATTTTCTATGCGATACAAAGTGGATGAAGAAATTAGAGTTTTAATCAGAATCGATTGTTTATAACTTCTGTTTTCATAATCATCGTAGTATGTACTGAACTGAAAAAATTAATGGTTTATGGTCTAACAGTTAATCGTTGTTAACCGTTGAAAAGAATCGTTTATGCACAATAACATAAAATACATATATAATACACTAACTTAGAAATTTCTCACTATGCATTTCTAATTTCAAAATTCATATCATCTATTGGTCGAACGATTCACCGGCCGTTATGTTCTTATAATGGTTTTGACACAATAATATTGCAATGTTTCGCGGCTCTGGTAGCATTGAGTTAAAATTTCAATGGTAATTAAGGAGTTGAATTAGGTTAATAGCTTGTTGAAAAGGGAAATATAATTAGTTGTATTCAGGGTTTAGGTGTGTTTAAGTTGAGTTATAACTTGTAAGATAAAAAGTAGGTATCTACAAAAATAAAAGATGAGAGGAAGACAAATAAGATGCAAGTACAAAAGGTATAGAGACAAAGTTGGTTGCGATTGATGCTTGACATGAAAAATAATAATAGTGAGAGTTGTTTGCTGAATTGTTACGAAAGAAAGGGATGTGCCAGCTAGCAGCTACGATCCAGATTTCTGTATCTGGAATTTGCATTTATGCACTACCGTTGTGGGAATGATATTCTTTGCTTTGCTTGCTTTCGTGTCACTCACAAGTCACAAGGGTATCTTTGCCGTCGGCAGCTACATTAAATGCTCGTACAACATGTCAAATCATTGTTAAACTAGGTTGTGATGCCGCGATTTGTCGCGGAGCGGAGATGGCTTATGGGCATGTATTATGTGGCACGTTATGGTGTTTTGTTAGTATTATTAGTATAAAATTAATTTTTTATTAACTGTTTGACTTGACAATATGATATTGTTTGAGAAGAGATATATGCTGATCGACATCCAATTCAAATTTTTTTTGAAAATTTTGGCGAATAAATTATATTTACCTAAACCCAACTAGACCCATTGATTATGGGTAGGGTATGAGTGATGTATATACGAGTTTGGAAGTTTGTAGATGGGTTTGGGTAGGGTATTGATATTTGCTTCCATAATCTAAATGTGCATGAGTTGGGTATTGATCCCCATTTATTCGATGATGTTTTAATTATACATACAAAAATCATACATATTTGCAGAACTCCAAAAGTTTAGGTACCCATATGTAATACACAAAAAAATTTGGTTCTAAAATGTAATGTTCCATCAATATTTTAAGGACTTATATGCCAAAAAAATTAGGTTATAAATCTATAGATCTATTAAGTTTAGGTCTCAAACTATAATTTACATAGTTGAGACTTAATTCCTTTTATGGTGATGTATTTAAGATGATAATTATTTACTTTTTATAGAAAAATAGAAAATATTTATTTAATATGTGTAGATACCTAGCCAAACATTCCATGAATAATTGTTGAAAATTCTAGCCCCGGTGAAAAAGAAAAACTCGAGAGAGAGAAGCAAAAGGAATACAAACTGTAACTCGTTTAAAATTTCACGCATTCAAATCCCATAGTGGAAAATGACGACTTTCTCATAAGTAATAACCATATATATTTATTTTTAGTTGAATTCGACATTGAGCTGAAAAAGTTAGTGGTTCATGGTTTAATTTTTTTTTATAATGGCGATAAACTATTATTACCAAACAAAACAGAGCTGTACAGACGCAAGAGATCATACATGATAATGGTTCAAATATTAATTCTCTAGACTGTGGGTGAGTCGTGTATGGATCCGTTCATACTTTTGATTAGAATGCATAAAAACAGTATAGTAATTTGGATTATTTTTAATGTTTCATGTAATGAGCAAATATTAAATAGCCGAATCTTCTCCTACAGTTGAGTGATACAACATCTAGTATGGTACAAACTAAATTTATACTTGTATGTTATGTTGGATTGGATTCATGAATTCAAGTGAAATCTAAATATTGGACCAATATGTAATTTAAAAAATTGTAGGTATGAAAATATCATAAAATTTAGATTTGAAAAACATAATTCTTCAATGATTTTATATTAAAATTAAATTTGGGATGTCAAAATATAAAATATTACATAGGGACTAATTAGTAATATTTTATGCAATAGTAATTGCAATTAAAATTTTCATTTAACATATACATAATAACTTATAACATTATATCAAAGATAATAGTTCGTACTTCAACTCAAAACATCTTGCGTGCAAATAACTGATGCTAAAACCAAAAACAAAAAACATAATTGTTATGCTATCCACATGTGCTCCTTTTATTGGTCTAATGCTTCTAAACATTTTTCTGCATTTTTTTCCTTTGGGAGCCGAGAGAGTGGGACTCTCTTCTCTCACACATACTTACTAGAGATGGCAATGAGATAATGTAAAAGTTAGGCAACAGTAACTTTACAGGTTTATATATATAAATGATAATCCCATATTACATGCCAATTAATGACATTTAATTGAGGACAATAAAATAAAAAAGGTTTTAGGCCTTCTACAAAAGTTTTGAATTTTGTTGTTGTATTAGTCGCATCTATAATATGCATTGTGTAATCCAAATTTCACTTGTATAGAAAAATGGCATACAATTTTATATATGTTGTTGGTAATTGATGATGTCTAGTTAAAATTGTCGGCCTCAAAGGTTCAAGTATTTGAATTTCGAAGGGTGGTTATGGAACACATTCACCATCAATCATCAATAGTCGGATAATTGCAAAATGTTAAATGGACAGAATCTACAAAGTACGAGAGAAAGTTTGGAAACACATTAATCTATTTCCAAGAATTGTTCTAAAAACGTTCTGAGCCTAATTCTACAATGGTTATTGATGCTATCCAAGACAAAATTAGAGATGAGATAAAAAAAGGTTTTTCCTAGCTCCAGTCACAACAGATGAATTGGTGTCTAAAGTTTTACCCAATTGATTAAGCCTATTTTTCCTGAGCGAGACTCAGAGTTCGTTTGTGCCTAGTTGTGCAATTGACGGTAATTGTTGCCTATAAGCGTTTCAACTACAGACTCACTTCTACTGTCACTCCAGGAATTGGCCAAGTGAAACCACTTCCTAAAGCGTAGTATAGCGGGTTTGGGTTTAATTATCAACCCGGGTCCTAGATTTGATGACTACTCAGTGAATTCTTGTTATATAGCAATGAAACTTTAATGCAAGTCTAAACTAACAAACTAACAAAGCAAGTAAACGGTTGTATTCAGGTTAAGAGAGGTCACCCGGATATGGTTCCCCCTAGACTGCAGTTAAGCCGGATTGTAATTACCAAGTTCAGTTTCTATGATAGTTATACTGCGGAAGGTTCTCAAACAGCCTGAAGTCTCGACTAAAGGTCTTCAGACCCTCTCAATCTGAGTCTCTAGCGGGCGACTAACCTCCACCGGAGTAAACAGATTGAGGCCCTATGAACAAAACCTCCACTACCGAAGTGAATCCGGTACAGAATAGTGAGTTGGCTCCTCGACTAAAGTCACCAACTCCCTACCTTCAATCAAGGATGCTCTATCAACCTAGGCAGATATTCTCATTCTAGGTTAAAGCAGAAACAACAGGAATTTGATCAGGATTCATGCCATTCAATCATTCAAACCTCAATTGAACATAATCAAATCATAGAATCAGTACTTGGGTTCATACAATCAAAGCCTAACATACAAATCTAGGGTTCTCCATACCCAGATGAATGGGAGAACTACTCCATGGAGAAAGAAGCAAAAGCAGAATCAGACGCGGAATTCATACTGTGAAGGATGGATTCCTGCTCCTGGACGTTGATCGACACTTCTCCAAGCTCAAACTGGCCTCCAATGGTGATGAAGATCAAGCTAGGGCACTTGGAGACTCTTGTTCGTCGCTTTCTCTCTCTAGGAATCGCTCTATCTCTCTCAAAACTCGAATCCCCTTCTGTTTTGGCTGAAATTTGCTTAAAAGGGCATCAGTGGCCAAAGCACGGTCGAGGGCACGGCCGTGTAATGCCTCAGCCCGCCCGTGCTTTGGCTAGGGTTAATTACACGGCCATTGTGTTGGGAGAAACACGGCCGTACTTTTGGGAGGACACGGTCGTGCTTTGGTGGACACGGCCGTGCTTTCAGCCCGTGTTTGCAGCTTGAATTTGCCAAACTCAATTAGCTCTCGGCAGTAAAAGCACGGCCACAGAACATGGCCGTGTTCTGTTTTAGGTGTGCCCGTGTTTTGGCTCCAGCTCGACGAAATGACTTCCGAATGCCCCGAAACTCGTGCTTAGCCTTTCCTTTGACGCCTGGGACCTGAAATATGACAAAATAACACAACCCGACGTAAAATAGGCCAAAAACACACGACTATGCCTCTCAAACGGATAAGAACTAGGGGCGCAAATATATGCAATTACATCATTATCAAATTCCCCCACACTTAACCGTTTGCTTGTCCCCAAGCAAACCTAACTCAAACCAATGCAACTCTCCAGACCTCTATTGCAACAAACAACCCAGATCGTAGGTAGAGGACTTCCTAGATCATTTAGCGGCTTACGAGGTCAACCGACGCACAAGTCATCTCATAGCTTCTTCGGCGAGAGCACTAGTATCGAGTCGGCATCATGGCAAATAGTGAACAGAGGACAAATGAATTGTGGATGAAGAGATTCTCAAAAACAAAGGATCATGGACTCACATTTTTCAAGGTGCTCTATTTTCTTTGAAGATGGTTGGAACCCCTTTTCTTTCTGTTTTGCTTGTTTTCTGTTATTTTTTTTCTTCTCTTTTTTCAAGGGTCCCAACCTGCTCTTACCGGCCATGCCAAGAGCGGATGTCTCGAGCCTCGTGCGGGGGAAAGACATGTAAGGGGGCTGGAGGTAGTAGGTGGAAATTGGGAACGAATTCCCGTCTCCCCTTACACACTTTCGCCCTATTCGCACGGGAGACGTTATTTTGAAGCACATTTTCAAGCACTTGTTAAACTCAAAACATGAAACAAGAGTCCATGACAGGTAGAGAGTCCACAGCACCACTAATTCACTCAATCAACCAACACAATATGAAGAAGAAATGAGACTTCTTAAATGCATCAACATCCTCCATAGTGCTACACTACCTCCCTAGGTTGCATATTACTATAAAGACTGTCAATTCAAAGCATACTGAGCAGGCAATCGCACGGAAACACGTACTTGAAGCCCTCAAATTTAAAAATTTGGACAGTGGACTAGGCTCCAAGCACACAAACAGATCTAATGCAGTCAAAAGATAAACATTCCCCCCACACTTAAGATCGACATTGCCCTCAATGGAGAAGAGGGAAGGGAAAGAGGAACGATGTTACCGGTATGCACGGACTGCAGGAGACTGGAAGCGAACCAGTCGAGTGACGCGGACTGGATAGAGGACCAGTCAAGACAAGCACAGCCAAAGGAAACCAAAGAGCTCAAGCACAATATGTTAGGTCCAATGTCAGCCCAATAAGACATCATTCAAAACAAAAGAAAACAAACCAAAACCAAACCGGTTTACAATCCGACTCAAAACAAAAGAAAGAAAGTCAAACCGTGGTGGGGTTGCCTCCCCACAAGCGCTTCTTTACCGTCTTTTAGCTGGACGCCCATGGTGGATACTCAGGAAGGTGCAGGAACAGGTGCCTCCAAGAGCGGATCCACGTCGCTCTTGAGGTACAGCTTCAGGTTGTGGCCATGCACCCGACGGATGCGACCACCATCATCGGTCAGCTCGACCCGGCCATCTGGCAAGATGCAGGCGAGTGAGTACCCGGACGGCCAGGGTGGTCGTGGTGCAGGAGGTGGGACAAGCTCATAGTGGTCTCCACCCTTCTTCCGTGCAGGCTTAGCCACCTGCTGCTTCGGCCGCCACTCCTCCTTGATCTTTTTGTTCGGAGGCGAGGCTGGATGGAGTGGCGGCGAAGGAATGATAGGAGGGTCCTGCAATCATAGCACGCAAGATCATAGCACAGTGATCAAATTCAGTCACAGAAAAAGTAGCCTGTTCATTCCCAGCACGCAAGATCAGTTTACCATCATGCACATCAATAAGTGCCTTGGCGGTGGCAAGAAATGGTCTACCCAGAATCAAAGGCACATCCTCATGTATATCAAGAATAACAAAATCAACAGGATATGTGAATGCACCTACTTTAACAAGCAGATCCTCAATGATACCCCATAGGATGCACGATGGAACGATCAGCTAGCTGAATGCTCATCCTAGTAGGGCTAAGTTCACCTAGGTCTAGCTTTTTATACAACTTATATGGCATGACATTTATGCTAGCTCCTAGGTCCGCCAAGGACTTGCCTACATGCATGCTGCCAATAGTGAGAGGGATAGTAAAACTCCCTGGATCCTTGCGCTTTTCGGGCAGCTTGTTCTGCAGGATAGCAGAACACTCCTCGCTCAGCAACACTGTCGAGAGATCCCCAAGTTTCTTCTTGTTGGTGAGGAGATCTTTCATGAACTTCGCGTACTTGGGCATCTTCGACAGTGCCTCCACAAACGGTATGTTGATGTTGAGCTGCTTCAACATTGCCATAAAATTGGCAAACTCAGTCTCCAACTTGTCTTTGTGTAGGCGAGTGGGGAAGGGAAGCTAGGGCACATGCTCCTTAACCACTAGTTGTGGCTTGGGAGCAGGGGCTTCCTTCTCCACCCGCACTTCTGCATCGTCGGCTGGAAGTGCTGAAGCATGTAGTGGTTCCTCCTGTCTGGCCGGGACAGGATCAGCAGATATGGTCTTACCGCTCCCGGTAAAAATGGCATCCAGCTGCTGGAGCTGGTGAGGATCCCGAGGATTCGGGATAGTGGTGGCAGGCAGAGTCCCCGGTGCCCTGATAGTGTTTTGGCGGGCCAAGATGCCCACCTGGGTCTGCAGATCTTGCAAAATGGCACCCTCGTTCCGCTGACCTGCCTCCAGTGACGTGATAGCAGCCTGAGTGCTAGTCATGAATGAAGCTAGAATATTTTCCAGCTTTGTCATCCGGTCATCTGGGGCAGGGGCTGCTGCTGGCTCGACAAACTGACGCTGAGGCTGTTGGAATGGTTGCCCCTGCCTAGGCTGGTAGGGCTGCTGCTGTGGGGTTGGCCCCTGTTGAGTCTGGAAGGGCTGCCTCTGCTGAAAACTACCTGCTGGTGCTGGGAAACCAGGTGGTTTAGTGGTGTTGCTGCTCCAGGCGAAGTTGGGATGCTGGCGCCACCCCTCATTATATGTGTTGCTGTACGGGTCGAGGCGCCAAGCATTGGCGATGAAGTCCAACTGCTCTTGGGGAGTGGTAGACTCCCTCATAGCCTGGCATTTCTCCACTAGGTGATTGGAGCTCTCGCACCACTGACATTGAGCTACTGGAGGTGTAGCCAAACCTCTGCCCGGAATCAGACTGTTGGGCTGCTTCAATGTCTGCACTAACTCAGCTACCTGCTGCTCAAGCCCGGATCTGGTCTCCATGGCGTGCACACCACGGTCCCGGGAATGTCTGCCTCGGCTGCTCTGTCCCCAAGAATGATCTCTGGCAGCCAAGGTATTGATCATCTGGTTCAGCTCGGGTGGAGTCTTAGTTAGGGATGGCAACAAAACCCGAACCCACGGGTACCCACCCGACCCAACCCGGTCAACGCGGGTAAAACCCGTGTTGACGGGTTTTGGGCCGGGTTCGGGTTTAAACCCGCTACACTATTCATCGGGTTGGGTTGGGTTTGGGTTTAGGTAAACCCGCCCCATGGGTACCCGCCCACACATATAATTACTTTCCCGGTATATTTAATATTCTAAATAATATATCTTCCTAAACAACTAATATTCTATATGTTTGTGGAGACATATATAATTTGTTCTTTCTAATTGTTTAGAATGAAGTTGATATTATGAAGTGGAGAGTGAAGAAACTTAGTTGACGAGGAAGAAGTTTTCAATTAATCTTATTGTTTATATATGTTTATCTTTAATTTTGAACAATTTGTATTGATCATTTGCGGTTTGTTTGTATGCTCTAGATTGGTGTTTTTTGTATGATTAATTTGTATGAGAAAATTGATGTTAAACTTTTATTTTGAAAGAAACTTGTTATTGTAAATTTTTACCACAAAAACCCACGGGTACCCATGAACCCGCGGATACCCAGCGGGTTGGGTTGGGTTTGAGTTTTTCAAACCCAACGGGTTTTACCCCGGGTTTTTTTGGCAGATAAACCCATGGTTTGGGTTTGGGTTTGACAAAACCCGCCCCAACCCGACCCATTGCCATCCCTAGTCTTAGTAAGAATATCCCCTCCTGGGCATAGAGACTCAATCACCCTCTGCTGTCTGGAGAGAGAGCACTGTAAAAGTTCCCCACTGTGAAAGCATCACTAAAGCCATGATGGGGACACTGCCAGAAGTATCCCATGTACCGCTCCCATGCATCACGAAGTGACTCATCTGGCTCTTGGCGGAAGTGAGTGATCTCCCGCTGGATCTCTGTAGTCTTCGATGCCGGATAGTACCTGTGCACGAATTTGTCAGCAAGATCGTCCCAAGAGGTGATGGACAAGGGGGCTGGGTCTCCAACCACCTCTTAGCATTCCTCGCCAGAGAATGGGGGAAGAGATGAAGGCGGATTGCATCATCAGGGACACCATTCAGCTTGAACCCGTTCGTCAGCTGCAGAAAACGGGAAAGATGCACCCTGGCCTCCTCATCCTTCAAGCCATGGAACTGGATAGAGGATGTTATGAGCTGAATCCAGCATGGCTTGATCTCGAAGTTGTTTGCTGGAATAGGCGGGTAGAGGATGACCGGGCGGATGTCAGCTATCCGAGTAGTGTAGTAGTACTCCAAGGTGGGACCCGGCGGCGGTGGATGATGATGAGCCCCATGATCCTGGGGTATGGGGTTGTTCCCCAGGACCTGATTCCCCGGGGGAGCCTGCTGAGGATTCCCCTGGTGTGGATTGTATTCTCCGTCCATCCCGTACTCTTCCTCAGAATCGCTGCTCAGGTGGCCGTCTATGCGCTCTTCCGGAGCCAGTCTAGCTCGCTGTTGTCTCCTGAGTTGGCGACAGGAGCGTTCAATCTCTGGATTCAACGGCAGTAAACCTCCCGACTGGCTACGGGTCATGCACTACCTGCACACACTCAAGCAAGCAAACCCGTGAAGGCACAAGTGGGACAAAGCAAACAAAGCGAAAAGAAAAGCTAAATTAACAGAAATCACTTTTCTTCAACAACTTAGCCGTCCCCGGCAACGGCGCCAAAAACTTGACTCACTTCTACTGTCACTCCAGGAATTGGCCAAGTGAAACCACTTCCTAAAGCGTAGTATAGCGGGTTTGGGTTTAATTATCAACCCGGGTCCTAGATTTGATGACTACTCAGTGAATTCTTGTTATCTAGCAATGAAACTTTAATGCAAGTCTAAACTAACAAACTAACAAAGCAAGTAAACGGTTGTATTCAGGTTAAGAGAGGTCACCCGGATATGGTTCCCCCTAGACTGCAGTTAAGCCGGATTGTAATTACCAAGTTCAGTTTCTATGATAGTTATACTGCGGAAGGTTCTCAAACAGCCTGAAGTCTCGACTAAAGGTCTTCAGACCCTCTCAATCTGAGTCTCTAGCGGGCGACTAACCTCCATCGGAGTAAACAGATTGAGGCCCTATGAACAAAACCTCCACTACCGAAGTGAATCCGGTACAGAATAGTGAGTTGGCTCCTCGACTAAAGTCACCAACTCCCTACCTTCAATCAAGGATGCTCTATCAACCTAGGCAGATATTCTCATTCTAGGTTAAAGCAGAAACAACAGGAATTTGATCAGGATTCATGCCATTCAATCATTCAAACCTCAATTGAACATAATCAAATCATAGAATCAGTACTTGGGTTCATACAATCAAAGCCTAACATACAAATCTAGGGTTCTCCATACCCAGATGAATGGGAGAATTACTCCATGGAGAAAGAAGCAAAAGCAGAATCAGACGCGGAATTCATACTGTGAAGGATGGATTCCTGCTCCTGGACGTTGATCGACACTTCTCCAAGCTCAAACTGGTCTCCAATGGTGATGAAGATCAAGCTAGGGCACTTGGAGACTCTTGTTCGTCGCTTTCTCTCTCTAGGAATCGCTCTATCTCTCTCAAAACTCGAATCCCCTTCTGTTTTGGCTGAAATCTGCTTAAAAGGGCATCAGTGGCCAAAGCACGGTCGAGGGCGCGGCCGTGTAATGCCTCAGCCCGCCCGTGCTTTGGCTAGGGTTAATTACACGGCCATTGTGTTGGGAGAAACACGGCCGTGCTTTTGGGAGGACACGGCCTTGCTTTGGTGGACACGGCCGTGCTTTCAGCCCGTGTTTGCAGCTTGAATTTGCCAAACTCAATTAGCTCTCGGCAGTAAAAGCACGGCTACAGAACACGGCCATGTTCTGTTTTAGGTGTGCCCGTGTTTTGGCTCCAGCTCGACGAAATGACTTCCGAATGCCCCGTAACTCGTGCTTAGCCTTTCCTTTGACGCCTGGGACATGAAATATGACAAAATAACACAACCCGGCGTAAAATAGGCCAAAAACACACGACTATGCCTCTCAAACGGATAAGAACTAGGGGCGCAAATATGTGCAATTACATCATTATCAACTACACGAAGAATTGCGATAATATTGAAAATGATTAGTTTGCTGCAAACTGGATATGCTTATAATAAGTTGAATGGGATTTTGTGGAAAACTTGTTCCTCGACCTATTAACATCACTGTTATTGGTACTAAATGGATTTTTAGAAATAAGTCTGATGAACTTGGATGCATTATTAAAAATAAAGCTCGTCTAGTTACCCAAGGATATAATCAGGAGGAGGGCATAGACTATGATGAAACCTTTGCCCAGTTGCTCGCTTAGAATCAATTCGCCTTTTCTGTGCTTATGCTAGATATATGAATATCAAACTTTTTTCAAATGGATGTCAAAAGCGCTTTCTTAAATGGTGAAATCAAGGAGGATGTATATGTTGAACAGCCTCCTGGGTTTACAGACTTCGAATTCCCTGATCATGTTTACAAACTGTCTAAAGCTCTATATGGTCTTAAACAAGCTCCCAGAGCTTGGTACGAAAAATTAACTTCCTTTCTGATTTCACAAGGATTCTGTCAAGCTGGGGTTGACAAAACGCTCTTCATTAAACGAAAAAATAAACACTCCTTGATTGTTCAAGTGTATGTGGATGATATAGTCTTTGGGAGCACTGACTCAGACAAGTGTGCTGAATTCTGCCCGACCATGAAAAGTAAATTTGAAATGAGTCTCATGGGAGAATTAAACTTCTTCCTTGGTCTGCAAATTCATCAAACTGATTCAGGCATCTTTATCCATCAGACTAAGTATCTTCAATCTATGTTGTCCAAATTTGATTTAGTGAATGTCAATCCTTGCAAAACCCCCCATAGCTTCAAATACTCATCTAGATTATGATCTAGATGGACAATCTGTTTGTGAAGGAAAGTATAGAGGAATGATAGGGTCATTACTTTATCTAACAGCCAGTAGACCTGACATTCAGTTCAGTGTCTGTCTGTGCGCCAGATTTCAACATCAACCCAAAGAAAGTCACTTGGCTGCTGTCAAAAGAATATTTAGATATTTAAAGGGTACATGTGATATTGGTCTATGGTATCCTAGGCCTGAATCTTCATCTCTGGTTGGATATTCCGACTCCGATTTTGCTGGGAGCATTACTGATAGAAAAATACCAGTGGTACTTGTCAATTCTTTTGTCGCTCTCTTGTGTCCTGGTCAATTAAAAAACAAGGATCTGTGGCCTTATCAACCGCAGAGGTAGAATATGTTGCTGCAGGGAGTTGTTGCACTCAAATTCTTTGGTTAAAATCCCAACTCCTTGACTATGGTTTTAATTTTGAGCAAATTCCTATTCTCTGTGACAACACGAACGCAATATTTATGTAAAAAAACCCTTTTCATCATAGTAGAACCAAACATATTGAAGTCAAACACCATTTTATCAGAGATATAATCCAAGCTGGTCATGTAGAATTAAATTTCATTTCTACGGAGTTTCAACTTGCGGACATTTTCACTAAGGCACTATCTTCTGAACGATTCATACGACTTTGTGACGAACTTGGTCTGCAGTCACTTCGCTCAATTCAGAACATTCACTAAACCCGGTTTTGCTCTTCCTTTACTTGTGCATTTATTTACGCTGGTTCAATAAGTGCTTCATTTATGCTTGTCTTGTTTTCCTGATAATTGTTCAATCATGTGTATGATGTTTAGTTTTTCCATGACCTGTGATTCCCAAAAACTTAGCTGCAACTCTTGATATTTTGTCTTCCCTATATATTTCATCTTCCCTGCTCCCTTTTCGTCTCACTTACCTCGGCACCAATATCCTCTCATTCATCATGACTGAGCTTTTCACATCCTCCAACATTCCTGGTGCCATCATTACCTATGTTGGCAGAACCTTCAATGAGCCTGTTGACTTCAACCTTCACCGTTTCAAGGAATTTTATGCCTCCCGCCACCTGTCTGATCCCATTACCCTTGATCTTTTTGAATTCAAATCCTATAGGATCGACATTACACCATCTATTAGAAACCTGGGACGGGAATTCCTTCTTCACTACCCTCCCCTTGCTGCCTGCCCCCTTCCAGTTCGCATGTTCTATGCAAATCTAGACTGTCAGGGGATAACCACAAGAAAACTCACCACTTTGGTGTATGGGTACTTCATTTCACTCACCTCTGAAGCACTTGGTATTCTTCTGAATCTCCCCACAGAAGGACCCCTTCCTCTTGCTCACGAGGATGAGTTTATTTTCTATGACTTTGATCATGTAATCGAGTATTCTCGTATTACTCAGCGTCCAGTAGGGGCTCATGAAATCATCACCTCTGCTGATCTGAACCCTACTCTGGGCACCCTCCACTATTTCATCACCCATTTGTTCTTGCCCCGCACCAATGGCATTCATATTGTTACCAAACTTGACCTCTGGGTGCTTTCCAATGCCCTCACTGGACGAAAAAATTGACTATTCCCAGCTGCTATTTGGCTCAATCGTTAGAAATGTTGATGCTCATCTTGGAGGCCGCCTTCCTTATGGTGGCTTCATCACTCTTCTGCTCACCAATCTTGGTATTTCCCTTGATGGATACTTCTCTGTTGAGACACCTGTTTCCATCCCTGCTCTCGTTGTCCTTAATTTTATTGGAGTTGATCCTCATACTTCGAAAGAGGGAGATATCATAGATCCAGCAGCTAGGATAGCCAAACCCAACTCCAAATCTGTATCAAAATCTCTGAAACTTGGAGAATCTTCCTCCTCTGTTTCCAAAAACCTGATCATTTCGTTTGAGGAAGAAGAGGCTGAACTGGAACCTGAATCTATGTCTGAGAAAGACATTAGACTCTTTACTGAAGACCTTGAAAGGGATATGATGGAAGGAGTAGCTGGAACTCAGGGGGAGTCAAAGAAGAACAATCATCAGGATGCTGGGACTTAGGGGGAGTCAAAGGGGAACAATCATCAGGATGTCAATCTCTAAAGAATAAATCTTAAGGAAATAAGGGGAATCTTAAACTAAATATTATTATGTTCTTAGTGTCTGAATGCTTTCTTGATCTAGTGTCGAAAAGACCATAATGGTCAATTCTGTGTGTCTTCTGTTTAAAGACCATAATGGTCTAAATATGTTTCTTTATATATTGCCTCATCTAAGTGTTGTATGTGATCCCATATCTATCTGTTTGCTACGTATGAAATAAAAGTCTATCCTATGTGCTGAAAAATCTGCAGAACTCGATACCTCAATGTTTCTTTGAATGTTTGTAGGAATTAAGGCTTGAACGCAGGGGGAGTTTGTTGGGCGTTGCTTCGTCTCCCTTCTCAAAAACAAAAAGCCCACTCGTCCAAAAGCCCACTTGACGTGGTGGCATTTTCCCTGTCATCGTCAACGTCAAGACCCTTGTTTGCGTCTTCACCTTCATTCCTTGGTTTCATCATCATCAACATCAAACAGTAAAATCTATTGCGGGTCTCTTATTGATAGGGCAAAAGCGTATAGCTTCAATTCCTATCTTGTAGTAAACTGGAAGGTCCGGGTATCGTCTCTCAGGGACTGGTACAACCTTATGATTTATCAATTCTATGGAGTAAACTATAGGTGGTAATGGTTTAATGAGATGAAACTATGATCTACTAGCAAAGTAATTAAACAAAACAAGCAAATTAAAATGTCGGGTTTAATTCAATGGGAGAAAGCTCTGGGAGAAACACCGGGATTCACTACCTATCCTATCCAGATTAATTCACATATTCCAATCAATTTAATCCATACCTCTACAGCCAGGATATCATGAATGTGCTAGCTATCCCTGTCGGGAATTACTACGTACTAAACAATTAAATCAAATCCTATGGTCGTAGCTCAATGACGTAATTATTTAGCCTGAAGATCGATATCCTATGTAAGACCGCATAACACCTTATTTAATCCACTGTCGCTTCGATAAGTTACTATGTCACATGAAATATGTTCAGTTATTAGGGTTTCACTGTCGCTAATAACCTAATTAACTACGATTCATTGTATTGATGGCCAGTCAACACAAAGCATTAAGAAATTTCATGCAATAGAGATTGGAAGAAAAGAATCATAAATCAATCCATCAAATCAAGAGATAGCTACATCCTATGGTGTTTCCCCCAGAAATTGGGGTTTAGTTCATGACGAAATTAAAATAAATCAATAGGGTTTTGTTCATCATGTTCTAAATCAACAAGAAACAACTAATTCGGTTTAGAAAATCCAACCAACTAATCGCTCTCGTTGAACTCAGCTCAAGCCTTGGAGAAGTCGATCGTCAATTGCCAATAACCGCTGCTCCTCCGCGCGTCCCAAGCTTTTCCAATTCTCTCTATGCTGCGCGTTGCTGCCGCCTTTTTCCCAAAGAGGATTTCGTTCCCCAAAACAAAAGAATAAAAGTGAGACCCTCCTGTTTCAGCCGCCCCCAATTAATAAAACCTCCTCCCCGGTTAATTGCTTCCACTGCGCCTCTGTTAATTCCAATCCAACTTCCCCAGCCCAGGAGAATTTCCTTGGTCCATTTAATTTGGCCCAGTCCACTCCTCCAAACACATTAAAGTTCCGCTCTTCTTCAATAATTGCCTTTGTTCTCCTTTTAATTCCGCTAGCCTCCAAATCTTCTTCCTTCGCAATTCTGTTCTGGTTCAACTTCCTCAAAATGGCCCGTCCAACATAATAAATGGCCGCCTATTTGCCTGTCGCAGCACAGCCGGCCCAAAAGCCTCGCTCCTTTTTCGTGCTTTCTCCACCTGTATCATATCAAACTCATGGCACTAGGCAGTAATGGTTTTTCAACCATTCTCGGGTTAGCGAGCCCTAAAATAGCACCAATTGGCTAAAACATACCATGGATAATCACATAAAGTCCAAAAATCCGATATATTAAAGCCAAATATCACAACCCCACACTCAATTGTTGCTTGTCCCTAAGTAACGACTCAAACAACACAAACACATAATCATCCAAAACATTGACACATTGTAGACTCAACACTCAAAGCAAAACATCAAATTTCCTTGTACTCTTGTTGTAATCAGTAGTTTCTTTCTCAACGGACAAGTTGTGCTTTAATGGTCATACCTTTCACCCCACACTCAAGTTCTTTGCAACCATTACCATTGACTGACTCAAATCCATCAAAAAAACTCAAATAGCAACACTCAATTCCGATCGTCAGTAGCGGGTGATTAACAACTTATGGTGCAATAGTTATTAGGAGAATCTAACCACATCAGTGAGGTGCATATCTCGTGAGGACAATCTGGCTTACTCACACCAATTATAAGCAATTAATTAAGCATGAGTCTAAAAAACTAACGGGGGAAGCCTTTCGCAAACATGATTTTACTTTAAGCACATCACTAC